GAGAGTTTTAACAGTTACACCACTCCAGTGTGCCAGGAGCCATCCATATCAGGATTCCTTAAAACATTCCTGGTACACACACAAAAAGAAAAAAAAATATTCCTGGTACAAACTGTATAAAATGGAGTTTCTTGGAAACAGACTCTGAGATGGGAGTTGCATGCAGTGGGGGGTCCTCTTGAGAGATATACCCACACGAAGTGAGAGAGATAGGACTGGGCAGAGGGAGAGATGGACCACTGAGGTGGTTGCAGTTGAGGCCTCAGCCTATCTGAAAAGGAGCCCTGGAGATGGGTAGCCCTTCAGAGTTGTTACAAATTGAGGCAAGAGAGCCAGGTTTTTGTATTCCTACATTAGCTGGGCAATGGCTGCAGGTTCCCCCTTGGAGGAGGGGCAGATAACTTTACTCTGAGGCTTTTCTCAGAGCTATTCTCAAGGAGGGCTGCAGCTGTGAGCCAACAGTACCTGACAGTTCCATCAGCTAGAGCAGCAGTTCTCAACCTGTGGGTCGCGACCCCTTTGGGGGTCGAACGACCCTTTCACAGGGGTCGCCTAAGACCATCGGAAAACACATATATAACTACATATTGTTTTTGTCATTAATCACTATGCTTTAATTATGTTCAATTTGTAACAATGAAAATACATCCTGCATATCAGATATTTACATTAGGGTTCATAACAGTAGCAAAATTACAGTTATGAAATAGCAATGAAAATAATTTTATGGTTTGGAGCCACCACAACATGAGGAACTGTATTAAAGGGTCGTGGCATTAGGAAGGTTGAGAACCACTGAGCTAGAGGATGACTGTTGGTCGAGAAGAGGGGAACTGGTTGAAGGACCACAGTATCTATTACAAAGTTCAAAATGACTTGTCTTTGGCCAATACTTTGTGTGGGCTCGTGAGTCTTTTGACATGGCCCATTGGTTTTGTAGAGCTTCCTTGCTTTTTGGTATAAAAATTCCAGGCTCTACCTGAACTAGAACTGGAATCAGTAGTTTCTCCAAGGATTTTTTTTTTTTAAAGAGGCATTCAGCAACCACAAAATGAATGTTAGGGTTGTTTATTAATTCTAGGTCCTTTTTTCTTTCTTTTCTTTCTTTTCTTTCTTTTCTTTCTTTTCTTTCTTTTCTTTCTTTTCTTTCTTTTCTTTCTTTTCTTTCTTTTCTTTCTTTTCTTTCTTTTCTTTCTTTCTTTCTTTCTTTCTTTCTTTCTTTCTTTCTTTCTTTCTTTCTTTCTTTCTTTCTTTTTCTGTTAAACCTCACATTAGGATATGTTTTTCATTGATTTTCAGAAAGAGTGGAAGGGAGAGAGAGAGAAAGAGAGAGAGAAAAACACTTAAGTGAGAGACACATGGGCTGGTTGCCTCCTGCACCAAGCCTGACCAGGGCTGGGGGGTGGGGATGGAACACAAAACCCAGGTATCTGCCCTTGACCAGGGGCTCTGGCCAATGCTCTAACCACTGAGACACCGGCCAGGGCTAATTCTAGGCCTTTTCAATGGATAGAACTAAAAAAATACACTTTTGAAAAGAAAAAAATCACAAACTCATATTAATATTGCCCTTTTGAATTTAACATACGATTTTTTATCTCCTTTTCTTTACATTAAAAATCTTAGTTTATAACAACATTAAATATTTGTATTCCCCTATTCTCTTCCCATATATGTTTGAAAACAGTAATACTGCTGTTACTGCAAACAATTAGGCTACAAAATAACTTTAAAAATATATCCTTGCAGCTCTCTAGAATATATTCCAATGTGTTTTAGAGTCACTAGATTTTGTGAGTGCACTCTGCTTGATTTGTATCCTCTACAACCTTTTAATTCATTATTTATAGCAGGACACATTCTTGTCAAATTTGCAGATAAGATAACAGGTAGCCCAAAAGATAAGAGAATGTATTAGAAAACAAAAATGAGGGCCACAAATCTCCATTCTTTATAGTGATGGCCTAAGTTTTATACAATGAAATATGATAAGTATAGCTGCAATTATGTAATTGTTTTATATTCACTTAATAAAAAATAGAAAATTATATTAAAATAAGTATAAACTTAAATTTATTAATAAGAAAGGCTACCACTTTTTGAGTACATATTAGATGCCAGGCACTCTGCTAAATGCTTCATATAATTTTTAAATTTAAACTTGACAAGAACCTCATAAGGCAATAGCAGTAGTATGACATTTGTACTACGACAGCAGTAATAGCTAACATTTACAGAGCATTTCTTCAGTACCAGCTGCCGTTTTACATTTAATTCTTACAACTACCCTTCAAATTGGGTACTATTATTATTACCTTTATATAGATTAGGAAATCGAGGCACAGAGAAGTTCAATAACTTGCTAAGTTCAGACAGGAAATCGAGCTAAGATCCAAATCTGGCAGTCAGCTTCCAAGGCCATGCATATGCTTCCTCCTTTTACGGATGAGACTGAAGATTCGAGAGGTTGAGAAACTTCCCCGAGTTTCTAGTGAGCTAAGGCCTGGGATTCAATCCCACGGCGCTTGATTTTACAACAGATTTCTTAACTGCTCTGCTGTACTGCCTTCCTGTAAAGCGACTAAGTAACTAGTAGTTAGATCAGGTGCTTAAACAATATTGGTGGTAATCTTGATAGCAACCCTAGGAGGTTGCTGTTTCACAGACCTCCTCCTTCTGAAAGTTCAGGAGGTTAAGCAAGTTGCTCAAGCTTACAGATAGCAGGTTGTCAAGTTGCCGTTCACACCAGGTCTGACTCCGAAGCCCGCACTCTTAAACATTCTGCACTGTGCAAGAAGAGAGCGATGATAAGATAAAAAGACGACTTGCAGGTTCAATGTGAGGCAGTGGCCTGATGCTCCTGCCACCCAGGTAAATGCTACCTGAAGCTGCGCTGTAGAAATACAGTGTTCAGAGCAAGGGAGGCGACAGTCCCACTTGGTCCCGCGGAGATGGAGCCCACCTGGAGCGCTGTGTGTGCGTGGGCCCCACTCTCTCAGAGGGTCCCTGACTCCCCTGAAGCCCAGCCCGAGGGGAGCGCCCAGTGGGGAAGGCGCTGAGTAACATGTCTCAGGGAAGAACTGTTAAAACGCTTAGAGTAGTCTCCATGCAGGCTGAATAGCTAGTATTTACAGTGTCCTCACGTGGTGGAGGATGGGACACACTCCAGAGCAGTGGTTCTCAACCTTGGAGTCACCTGGGAATCTTTTTAAAATCCTGATTTCTGGGCCTCATCCTCCGGAAATTCTGTTTCTTTGTTATGGGGTGAGGCCACAACATTAGTAACAAAGAAACAGACTTTCCGGAGGATGAGGCCCAGAAATCAGGATTTTAAAAAAGATTCCCAGGTGATTCTAATGTGCAGCCAAGGTTGAGAACCACTGCTCCAGAGGGAAGAATGAAGCTGCATAGATAGAGAATCAAAGAAGTGGATTTGGCTCCTCACAGGGAGGGAGGTCCACCTGGTGTTTGGAGCTGTTTAGAAAGAAAATGGGCTTCCTTGTCAGAGTGAAATCATTTTCACTGATCAGAACCTGGATGAGCTCTTATGGTGGGTGTTTAAAGACGTATAAGTCAGGTGTGGTGGTTCTGACATTTTAGTGGTATAAGGCCCACCTGGGGGAACTTGTTAACTAGCACTGATTTCCAGGCCTCACTTTTAGAAGTACAGTGTCCCGACTAACGAGTTTTTCGAGATATGAGCCATCTCTCTGCCGAGTTTTTGCTTTGAGTTGCGAACTAAAATTCGGGTTACAAGCCAGCTTCAGATACCCCACCGCTAGTTGGCGCAGCAAACGTCACAGTGAACTCCACATCAGCCCAGCATCATGTGTCTCACTCGTTCACTTTTTGATTTGACATACAAGTAATTTGAGTTACGAGCTCCGTCACGGAACGAATTAAACTCGTAAGTCAAGGCCCCGCTGTATTGACTCAGTAGATCCGGACCAAGGTCCAAGACTCTGCCTTTTTAACAAGCAGCCGGGTAGATCCAAACCAGGTGGTCAGGGCCCACACTTTGAGAACTAGTGAGGCTGATAAACTCTGAAATCTCTTCCACTTATTTCACAAATAAACATATCAGTAAATAATGTCTGTAGTCAACATATGACTGTGCAGAGAAAGTTGTAAGTTCTATAAAAGATTCAAGACAAAATTCTTTAATATGGTGACAGTTACAATTAGAAGTGAACTTATTGGGAATGTAGGATATTAGAATATGGAAGGAGAAGGCTTGATTCTCAATTTGTCAGATAAGACTTAAAAAGTGCGATGGAAGTTACAAATGCAGTTTGAAAATCTTTAAACAGAGAACCCTGTCGATATAGACAAGGAGCAATTTCATGGGGGCTGAGAAAAAAGCTGAGCATCCTAAATGACAGCACCTGTGTCAGGCTAAACACCTACCAGGCTTTGGGGCCCAGGCTACTATAAATTTCTGCCTGAAACTAACAAAACATGTGTGAGTGAGAGTTGGAAACTAAAAGCATAGTTGGTCTTCTGACTCTGGCCCACTTTGTGTTGGGGCTGAAGTTTTTTTGCTGGCAAGTACAATATTTTTTTATTAATATTAACTTTTATTTAAAGCATGCAACCTGAGAGCCACATTTTAAAATGTTCTTGCTCTCTATAAATATGTTTTTTAAAAGTGGGGCTTGGTGTAATTACTGTCCAACATAAAGACTTTTTCTTTTACTTAAGTTGCATAATGAAGTTTTATTTGTTTCTTAGGTGTATTAAAGTTTAAAAAAGATATTTTTCCTTTGAAATTTGTTAAAAACTGGCTAGTTCAAGAGGTTGTATTTTTGCCTGTTTTGTTGATAGTACTCATGTGCTTATTTAGTTATTAAAAACTAGCAAATAATTTCTAATTAAAATGTAAGGTGTATACAATTTCCAAATAGTAACTACATGTTGGTAAGTGAGGCTCTTGGTTCTATTTAATTCATTCTTGCTTCCTTTTAATGGTTGCAGACCTCATAGATTTTTCTCCTTGAATCATGAGAGATGAAATTGCAACAGCAGTTTTCTTTGTCACAAGACTGGTGAAAAAGCATGATAAACTGAGTAAACAGCAAATAGAAAACTTTGCAGAAAAGCTGATGACTATCTTGTTTAAAACATACAGAGGCCACTGGCACTCTGAGTGCCCTTCTAAAGGGCAAGCCTTCAGGTGAGAGCTAGTGTGGGGTATGGGGAAGCGGGGGGAAACAGGCATTGGCAATGATTTTGTTGGCAGCCTATGAGGAATGCAAGTTTTATGGACTGAATGTGGGCTTGCTTGAAAGAAAGAGATACTTAGTGATAGTGCAGTTGAATATTCTAGCACAAACCCCCTTATGTGAGGTGGATTGAGCAATTTCTAACTGGTGTTAACGATGAAAGATATGCAGTGAACGCTTGGGGAATGAATTGTGTGACTCAGTGATGCAACTCACATTCTGAGTTGCTGTGAGAAAAGCTGAGGTTTCACTCTTATTTGTAAAACTGGAGGGTGGGGAAGGGGTGGGGGAAAGCAGGGGTGAGGTGGGAGCTTTGTGTATTGCAGCAGAAACCTAAAACCGTATTTCTTCTAAATCCTAACTAAAACAGAGTGTGGTGGTTCTCACAATGCCAGTCTGTGCCCTTGAAGTGGCTGGTAATGGTGACATTCACGTCTGATAGTTTCTATGATTCTCCTGCTAAAGCACCTGTCGACATGCCTTTGTTTCCCTTCCCTTGCTTTTTAAGGTGTATCCGGATAAACAATAATCAGAATAAAGATCCCATTCTACAGAGGGCTTGTGCTGAAAGTAATGTGAATTTTTCTCACCTGGGACTTCCAAAGGAGATGACCATATGGGTAGATCCCTTTGAAGTTTGCTGCAGGTGAGTAACCTCGTTGGAAGTAAGAGCCTGCGTTCCCTCTGACAGGTGGAAACCTTAGGTTAGTTAGTCAGTTCTGTACACGTTTGTGAAAGATGGTGCCCTGGGTTAACAGCGAGGGCAATGGTTGGTTAAGGTTTTAGTTGCAAACTTTATTAGACAGCGCAGACTTCCAGGAGGAGTGGGAAGCACAACGCAATGGTTGGTTAAGGTTTTAGTTGCAAACTTTATTAGCGCAGACTTCCAGGAGGAGTGGGAAGCACAACAATTTTGCATAATATTTGAAATTTGATTTTAATCCCTGCCAATAGTAGATTATGTCTAAGTCCTACAGGCAGTATCAAGGGGGAAGAGGAGTTATCTACCATGGGGCAATTCAGGCCATCAGTTCAATCAAAAGAAATGAGTCTTTGTCTTTTTCTGAGCAGTTAACCAAGATAGCGCTTAAGGAACACCCCCACCAATTACAACAGTGCAGTAGCTGAAGGTCATAGCGTCTCTCAACTTGCTTTGCTGTCAAGTCATTTCAATTTGTTTTTCAAAATAACTCTTTTTGTAAGTTAGTGAGTTGTCTCCAGAAGAAATTAGAGATGAGCTGTGAGACGTTGAATCCCAAACAAATACTTTATTTTCTTTTCCTACTTAGGTATGGTGAGAAAAATCACCCGTTTACAGTTGCTTCTTTCAAAGGCAGATGGGAGGAATGGGAGCTCTCCCGACAAGTCCTGGATGCTGTCAGTAGAGCCTCGCTAGACTACTCCTCGGGCACTTCCTCCGATGAAGAAAGTTGTAGCAGAGAGCCCCGGATAATTCCTAAAGTCAGCAATCCGAGGAGTATTTATCAGGTAAAGTGTGCTCCAGGTCTCCTGTCTACTTTTATTCCTTTTCTGATTCTAAAAAGAATATGCTGACTGTAAAAGCAAAGAAACAACAATTGGAAAACCTGGAAAAAACCAAAACTACAAAGTTTAAAATCACAATATTAATATTCTGGCAAAACATTTTTCTGTGTTTTGTTTTTTCCTTCTATATGTAGTTCCTCTACTTGGCTGAATGATCAGGATCTATACTATCATTTGCAGTCCCATTTTTCCGTATAGTATTTGGACATAAACTTCCTTTCACCTAAATTTCTTCAGAATTAAATATTAAAATTAGTGGCCTTTCTTATTTTTTTTTATTTTTATTTATTTTTTATTTTTTTTTTTACCACAACCCATAGAAAGACATGCATAGTATGTTAGAATTTCCTTCTATATGTAGTTCCTCTACTTGGCTGAATGATCAGGATCTATACTATCATTTGCAGTCCCATTTTTCCGTATAGTATTTGGACATAAACTTCCTTTCACCTAAATTTCTTCAGAATTAAATATTAAAATTAGTGGCCTTTCTTATTTTTTTATTTTTATTTTATTTTTATTTTTAATTTTTATTTTTTTTTTTACCAAAATCCATAGAAAGACACGCATAGCTATAGGTTAGAAATAGTTTTCATGAAACACTATTTACCCTTAGTAGGTACAATGATTCCAACACTTTGAATTAAATTAAATTGATTTCAACCATCTAAATTGATTTCATGACTCACTAATGGTGGCAACCCACAGTTTGAAAAACACTGATCTAGGGAGATCTGTGTTGACACTTTGTATGTGTATACTTGTATGTTTCCTTAAAATGATCACTTATGGCCCTAGCTGGTTTGGCTCAGTGGATAGAGCATCGACCTGCAGACTCAAGGGTCCCAGGTTCGATTCCAGTCAATGGCACATGCCCGGGTTGTGGGCTCGATCCCCAGTGGAGGGCACGCAGGAGGCAGCCGATCAATGATTCTCTTTCATCATTGATGTTTCTATCTCTCTCTCCCTCCCGCTTCCTCTCTGAAATTAATTAAAAAAAAATTAAAAAAATAAAATAAAATGATTATGTATTCACATGTTAAAGTAATTTAAATACTTAAAATTTTAATATTCATTTGCTTTCCTAGTAATTTACTCAGTTAATCTAGATATCTGCCAATTATAAATTATTTCCACATTGTTATATAAAAAAAGCTGATAACTTATACAGAAAGATGTCTGAATTTTAAATTATTTCTGGAGATTTGATTCTCAGACATGGAATTACTGGGTCCATACATTTTAATAAATGTATAGACATTTTACTCATTCTCAATGTACAGCCAAAGTACTTTTTAGAAAATTATATTTATTTGTAGTCTAACCAGCTTTATGTGAAAGTGTTTACCATTTTTCCTAAAATTGAGTATTCTCACTTAAAAATAGTTTTGATAACAATACTATTACAGATATTATTAAAGTTTAAAAATTAAAAATCTCCATGTCCCCAAATGTTTTAGATATTTACTATCTTAATGAATTTCCTCTTTTTTATCCACTTATCATTTAAGTTCTGAATGTATTAGTATAGGCTCTTCAAACTTTAAGAGTATTTTAACTTATCATTTTACTGGAAAATATTATTTCTCCAGCTTGTTTAGTTTTCTAAACTATATAGATAGTTTGTACATAGTTCTATGTGTATAAAAGTTTAAAATTATATAGTGAAATATTTGCCCTTAATTCTATTTTTTAAATTAATTAATTTATTGTCTAAAGTTTTACATGTCTCCATTTTCCCCACTTGACCCACCACCCCAGCCATTCCCACCCCAGGCAAGCCCCCACCACCCCAGTGTCTGTGTCCACTGGTCATGCTAATATGCATGCATCTAAGTCCTTTGGTTGATCTCTATCCCCGCAACTCCCCTGCCTTCTCCACGAGGTTGGACGGTCTGCTCAGTGCCACCTTGTCTCTAAATCCATTTTTGTTCATCAGTTTATGTTGATCATTATATCCCATATATAAGTGAGATCATGTGATATTTATCTTCCTCCGACTGGCTTATTTGGCTTAGCATAATGCTCTCCAGTTCCATCCATGCTGTTGCAAATAGTAAAAGTTCCTTCTTTTTTTATAGTGGCATAGTATTCTATTGTGTAGATGTACCACAGTTTTTCAATCACTCATCTGCTGGTTGGCATTTAGGTTGCTTCCAAATCTTAGTTAATTTAAATTGTGCTGCTATGAACACACGGGTGCATATATCCTTCCTGATTGGTGTTTCTGGTTTCTTGGGATAGAGTCCTAGAAGTGCGATTACAGGGTCAAATGGGAGTTTCATTTTTAACTTTTTCAGGAAACTCATACTGTTTTCCACAGTGGCTGCACTAGTCTGCATTCCCACCAGCAGTGAAGGAGGGTTCCCTTTTCTTCACATCCTCACCAGTACTTGTCATTTGTTGATTTATTGATGATAGCCATTCTGACAGGTGTGAGATGGTATCTCATTGTTGTTTTGATTTGCATCTCTTGAATGATTAGTGACTTTGAGCATGTTTTCATATGTCTCTCGGACTACTGCATATCCTCTTTCAAAAAGTGTCTACTTAGGCCCTTTTTCCATTTTTTGATTGGATTGTTTATCTTCCTTTTGTTAGATAACATTGGCAAATATGTTCTCCCATGCAGTGGGCTTTCTTGTTGTTTTGTTGATGGTTTCTTTTGCTGTGCAGAAGCTTTTTATTTTGATGTAGTCCCATTTGTTTATTTTATCCTTAGTCTCTCTTTACCTGGTTTTGGAATTAGGGTTATGCTGGCTTCATAGAAAGAGCTTGGAAGTGTGCCTTCCTCTTGAATTTTTTGAAATAGTCTGAGGAGGATAGGTTTTAGTTCTTCTTTGAATGCTTGATAGAACTCCCCTGTAAAGCCATCTCGGACCAGGGCTTTTGTTTGCTGGAAGATTTTTGATCACTGCTTCAATTTCTTCAGTAGTTATCGGCCTATTCAGGTTTTTTGATTCTTCCTGATTGAGATCTAATTCTATTTTTATGCTTAGAAAGGCCATCTTCCATTTAGGGATCAGCTATATTCTTCTAGAACAATATCATTTCAGAGTATAGTCTATAAAACATCTGTATTGGTCACTCGAGATGTTTAAAATGGATATTTCTAGACCTCCACTCAGAGATCATGATTAGACAGTTTTGGGTCCCACCAGTGGGGTGGGGTGAGGTAGGGGAGAACGTACAAATATATAGACATTTGCATAAGTGTGTTTTTAAAAATTTTATTTAAATTAAAAAATTATTTTTATTTAAAGGTATGAAATTGACTTGCTTTATACCCTTGAAAATGCTAGCCAATTTTTTCCAAATATGATTATCCACTTCTCTTCATTTGAACTTCCTATGCTTTTGAAACATTTAACTTCTGAGTTATAGGTTTTATTTAATCCTTAGGGCTAACTTCTTAGTTTAAAAAAGATCTTTATGCACCTTTTTATCATTTTTTTTCTTCTTTTTTCCAGGTTGAAAACCTGAAACAGCCCTTTCAAACTTGGTTCCAAATCCCCCCAAAAAAGAACGTATTGGATGGCGGTCTGGGCCACCTGAGAAATGCTTATCACGCGCTGCATAGGAACCGCAGGGGCCATAAGCCTGCGGCTGTGTGCCTGGTGGACAGGTACCACTGGGTCAACACCAACCGCTAAGGCAGTGGCTGCGCGCTCAGTGCCATAGCGCTCAGAGGGGCCACTTTATTTTCTCTAAAACAAAACTAGTCTGAGGTTGAGAGGCTCATGAAACAGAAAAAGTAACATTAGGGACCAGGGTGCATGATGGGAATCCTCTCACACAAATCATGACAGTGTTCTTAGCTGTACTTTTAATTCTTATTTAATTTTATATGAAGTTTTAGATAACACTAATGAATGTACCCTGAAGGTAATAGAATGAAGATATGAACCTGTGATAAGATTTAATGAATTATGAAAAGTAACAGTTTAAATAAACGTGTTGTTTTTAATATATTCCTCGTTCAGTTTGTTGCAAGAAAATTTTAAGTTTCTTTCTTCATTAGCCATTTAAAAAAAAAGCAGGTCTTCATTTAGGGAAGAGTGAGCCTCATAATATAGTTTTCTGGTTCTACTTTGTTACCTGCCATCACTTTTATTTCATAAGGCCAGTGAGAGCTTGTTTGAAAATTGCTCTTTAAGATACATAATTCCCTTTATTAAAAAAAAATTGGTTTTATTTCTAAACCTCGTAATAGACTTTATAATTATGACTTACTTTATAAGAGTGATACATGCTCATCATAAGAATTCAAGCTAAGTGGAAAAACAGCACCAAGAAAATAAAATGCGATCACGTCCAGCCAGAAATTACCGTTATTCACATTAAATGGTGACCATCATTCCAGTCATCCTCTTCTATATACAGATGTAAGAATCTGTACACACACAATTAACAAGAAAAGCATGCTACAGGAGCCACTTGTAAATATTTGGATTTAACTTTATTTGATCTTAGCAAAACAAAGAAACCTAAAGTGAAACAGAATTGTTGAATATTCATCAGCTTTTCTATCACAAAGTATCTTATTTCCTGAAAGACTTCTTTATGTCTGTTTTTTTTTTTTAAGGAAAACACTAAGAGGCTGGAAAAATCTTCAAAACTTAAAAAATTTTTGCAGTATTGGTTATTTGTTGCTATGTAAGCTGCAGAAATTAGCACTCTTATTTTTTCTTTGTCCCTTATTTCCCATGTCATTTTTTAAAAAACGGAGGTGTAATCGACAGATAGCATTATATTATTTTCAGGTATACATTATATTATTTTCAGGTATACAACATGATTTGGATATTTGTGTACCCTGTGAAATCATCACCACAATAAGTCTAGTTAACATGCACCATCATACATAGTTACAAAATTTTTCTTGTGATGTCAACTTTTAAGATTTACTCTCTTGGCAACTTTCAAATATGTGGCCTTTTAAATGTTACAGTTTAACATTTATGTTTTGTCCTAAAACAATTATTTCTATAGTTTTTTTCTTAGTTCTAATGTTAAAACTGATTCAATGTTCATCAATAAACTTTTCTATACTGTGAAATCTATTTTGATTCATTTTTGGTGAACTGGATTTAGCAGCTTTTCTTTTTAAAAAATTTTTTGAGATAATTGTAAATTTACATACAGTTAAGAAATAGATACTGTGCACTCTTTACCAAAGGTAACATAGTTTCCACCAAAGGTAACATTTTGTGAAACTATAATATCACAACCAGATGCAGAACATTTGCATCACCCACCAGCATCCCTCTTGTTGCCTTTAATAGTCACACCCACTTCCCTCCCACTATCATCCCTTCCTTAACCCCCTTGACAACTACTAATCTGTTCCCCACTTCTATAATTTTGTCACCTCAAGAATGTTATAAATGGAATCATATGTAGGTAACCTTTTGGGGTTGGCTTTTTTCACTAAGCAAAGTTCTATGGAGATTCACCCAGGTGGTTGCATGTATCAGTAGTTTGTTCCTTATTATATATCACTAGTGGCCCTGTGCACGAATCTGTGCACGAGTAGCTCTCCACTGCACTGTAGCTCGCTGCCCCCCCCCCCCTGCTGATCGGTTGTTACTGTCACGGTATAATGACCATTTGCATATTACCTCTTTATTATATAGGATGGTATGGATATACCAAGATTTGTTTAACCATTTGCCTGTCAAAGGATGACAACTGAGTTGTTTCTAATTTGAGGGATTATGAATAAAACTGCTATAAACATTCAAGCACATAGACTGGGAACATAAGTTTTTTTGTTTCTCTGGGGTAAGTGCCTTAGGGTGGCTGTACCATTACTCCCACCAGCAATGTATGAAGGATGTAGTTTCTCCATATCGGTGCCTGCCTTTGGTTTTGATCTCTTCACACTTACCAGAATGACTTAAATTTTTTTAAAAATAGTGTCAAATCATTGTAGTTTTACCATCTATATATTCTCTTCAGTGAAATGTCTGTGCCATGTCTTCTGGCCATCTCAGGAAGAGATTCCTCATAGCTGTTGGACTGGAATGGAAATTCCAGCTCCTCATGTTGTTTCGACTAACACTTTGGTGACGGTGGCCCTATTACCAGTGGGCAATAGCGAAAGTTCTAACTCTTGGCCTGTGCTGATGCCACTCCAGTGGGAAGGTGGTGGTGAGGGGACTTATTGCTGCCATATTGTTAGTAGATGTCTAGATTTGCCACATGGTCTCCACTGACATCATGGGGTCGGGGCGGGGGCGGGGTTGTAACTGCCCTGTGGGGATGAAAGATGAAAATCCCCCGCTTGCTACTTCATCTTTCCTGGCATCTCCACAGGAGGAGGTTGTTACAGGTTGTTACAGGTTGGTGAGTGGGGGGAAGTCTAGACTCCCCAACCAACTTTTCTTGGTGTGGTTGGAGGCAGGGTTTTTTGTTTGTTTGTACTTTGGGCTGGAGTAAAGCAGTCATTGTCTAAAGGTCTTCTGTCTTAGTGGGCTGCTCCTTTCTCAGTCCTCTGGCTGAAGAGAGCAGGCTTTTGTGGAGCTCTTTTGGTCTGTGCTCACTGGTGTTTGTGGATTGCTGGGGTTTATTTCTAAGTTTGGAATACATGAAGAAAAAAGAGAATCTATGGAGTTTACCATCACAGGCTGCCTTGGATTCAGAGGTCCCTGGCTGTTCTCTTTTCTTCTCTACACCTTTCAAAATCTTCTTGTTTATTTTTTATACATAATACCCAGGGATTTTAGTTGTATTTGGTGGAAGGAGTAGGGAAAAGTATGCCACTTCATCTTCCTGGAAACAGAAGTCTATGCACTACTTTTGAAGTTAAAAACCACATTTTCTTAAAACAAGTATTATATTTTGGGGAAAGGGTTCTTTTTGTTAATAGTTGGTGAAATATGGCTTCTATACCTATTAAGGTTTTCTTATCCTTTTTCTGCTCAGTGGGCTATTATTGTGTGTGTATGTGTGTGCATACTAGCTAATTCCTTAAAGATAACTCAAATATCAAAACTTAATCTCACATTTATTGATTTAAGTCAGCAAGAAATACACATAAGACAGCAGGAAAGAGGACATGGTCCCTGCCTTGTAATCTGCGGCATTTCCATTAAAAAGTGCATGCTTACTAAAAGCTTACAGCTGTTAATGTATTAATAGAATCAGGTGCAGGGCCCAAGAAATCAGGAAGTTGGATCATGTTCGGGTAGGTGCATTGCTCAGCCAAAACTAAGAATACAAAAGAAAGAGCTTTACTTTCTGCACAGCATTTTCTTTACCACCTCTCTCAGAGGCCCTGGGCTTTTGCCTAACTATCCTAAATAGTATTGCATGTCTGGCATAATTAATCTTCACTTTACTCACTGGGAAATTCATTTAATAATTTATATAAATAGTTCAATAAAGTTCTTAAGTGCATACTCCAATATTTATCATATCATCTCAAAGTACTGGAGAAGTCTTTAATCTTATAATGTTGTGCATTGATTGCAGGTGTGAGTGTATATAAGAATCTAATAATTTAATCTGAATGGCTATTTAAGATGGCTAGGTGAGCAAGCTCTAGCAACAAAGAAATGAGAACTGAAGGTCAGTGTAAGATGGTAGAAATAGAGGCGTTAGATGCAGTAAACTGATTCTGAGCAGATATTCTTTATGACCCACTTTAAAACTTTTTGATAACCTTAATCGTAAATCTTCTTGTCATGTTGTCTCACAGTGTTTTTTACGTTAACTTATTTCCCCTAAAGTAGTTTACCATTAGTATTTTGGTTGGAGTTAGAGTTAAATCTTCAGCCATGTGAAGAAATTTCTTAGTTATAACAAAAGACCTGCCAGGCTAAAAAATGTTGAATATGAATTGGATACTGCATTCACTAATTAGTTATTATTCATTATCTACCCACATAGTGTTTCTTTACTAACCTGTCTTCCTTGCATTGCTCAATAGACTCAGTAACAATTGTTCTATTAGTTTTAAAAATCCTTTTTAAAGTAATATAAAACCCTGAGTGAGAATTATCTTAGAGCACAAAAAAGAGAATCATCCTCATGAGAAGCAGTTTGAATTGCTGGCATTGGATTTGTAATTTGAGCAGGCATTTGATTAGAGTTTTGTATTTGAAAATTTGCGGGGGGGGGCTTCTATTGGTTCATGTGATGGTTGTGTCTCTCCTGAGTAGCACTCAAATCCACCTTGAAACTTTAGTTTCAGATTACTGCTCATCTCTTTGAGGTGCTCCAACTGGGGCCTCCAAAGTGAATTTTGTATATGCCACATGGACTACATTTTATGTTCTCTTATTCCTGATCACTAAATATTGTGCAAATATATCTAACTACTTTGTGTGACTCAGAAACAGACAATTTTAGATGTTAGTCAGTCAGACAAATGATAATACATATAAATTTTACATAGAAAGAAGGCCAGTCAATATTTTTAATAGATATTTTAATAAGATATGTGATCTAATGATCTTTTAGTCATAGTGAAAATGTCAGTATGTTCTTTATCTTCTGTGCCAAATATTAGCCCCTGTTATTTTATATATCACCCATGATTATAATATACATTAATGTGATTCATATATGAGTATTATAGCTATTTAAAATATTTTATCAGCTTCATCAGATGTTGTTTTGACATATTTAATACCATTTAATTATGCAG